TTAAGTATGTGTGTGCTTTATAAAATCTTATTTTTCCTTTTGTCTAACGATGTGAGACTAATTTTTATTGTGACACCCTCTAGCACACATGCCATAACATATAAATAATATAAAATGAATAACATCGATATAATAAATGAACTCAAAATTCATATAGGTAGAGAGAATCATATTTTGATATAAGCTAACTTACGAAAATAACAAAATTACAAAGAAATTAAAATCAACTACTCAATATAAATAGCATGAATCAAATCCTAACTAGTCCTAACTATACCCTGGTGTCACGTGTCTTATTAGAGCAAAACCCAACATTGAAGACTAGGCCTCATCACAAACATACTCAACACCATATTGATGATCACTAGTAATAACCACAAGAAGACAAAACAAAAAGAAAGGGAGTGAGAAATATCTCTCTGTGCCTCACAATGTAGGAATACAAATTGACTAGCCAAACACAAATAACACATAAAATTAGATATACCACACACAAATATACACTATTATCACACTTGATTCATTCATGGCATTTAAACAACAAAGGATATAATTATAATACATTATGCAATAGACACGAACTACATGTTAACATGCATGTGGTGCTAGTAAAAATATCACACTGGTGCATTGTCGTTAGCAAAATACACTAAAGTAGTCTAGTAATACATGTCGGGTTACACCTTCTAACGCACTCCCACTAGAAAGACATATTATCAAGGTTTGGTTGGGATAGCTAACATGCAAAAGATACATTCCATGCTCACGAGGGCATGATTGAGACTTCCAAACTGAATTATCCTCAAGGTTGATACCCAAGCTTTTACACAAGGGACCTTCCCTAGTAGTGTATTCCATATCGTTCCCTTAAAAAAAACACTTTTTATGCACATAATGCATGTCAAACAGACTCTATGCATAACACTTCACATGATCTCATTAATTCATTGTCAACTGATCCCAAATCATAAAATCATCAACCATTCTCAATATAGCAATTTGCAATTCAACTATATCAATTAAATATTAGCAATCAATGGCATAAGAGATCACATCACTACAACTCATGCATAGCTCTCTAACATATCAATAGCACACTCACATACTACATTTCCATAACTTAATCTTTTACAATATATCGTGGTTCAAACTCTTTAACAAGAGCTATATATATGTTATCTAGTTAAGATTAATTTTATTAGAAATATAAGACAATTATCTCCAACTTCTATATTCACCTTTAAGAGTTAATTATGTCATCTACTATTTTTAAATAAATACAAAACTGCAACGTTTTAGCCTAAATTTGATAGCTTGACCTTTGCTCACTAATTTGATCATAACTTGAGTTTTGGACCTCCTTTTTAGGTGATTTCAACGGTATTTAAAATCTAAAATCCAGGACTACAACTTTCATATAGACCACAAAAGCTAATTTAGCCATCTACTTGCTTAATCGAGCCAAACTTTCGATTAACCGAGATTAGATCACTTAAAATGAGCATTAAGCGAGGTCAACTTTCCCAGAGCAAGATAAAACTTGCTCAAAACGAGATAAAACTCACTTGAAGCAAGAACCACCCAAAACTCTATTTTAGGCCTCACTTGAGCAAGCCTGAATTCGCTTAAAGTGAGATAAATTCACTTAGAGCGAGACTATGGTCGCTTGAAGCGGGATACGACAGTCCCAAACGCGAAATTACATTGTTTATGGGTTTTTTACCTTTCCTACACCATTCTCTAACATCTCCAACCCAAATCCAATTTGTAACAACCCTCCATAGGTTATGTTATGCCTCTAAAAGACATAACTTACACATAGATATATACTCACGCCATCTTCTCGTACAACCACTAATACATTCCCTTAGGGTTTCTCACACAACCTATAGGAACACTAAGATAAACAATCACAAGTCAAACTTGAAAATTATCAACACCTTCATACTAATTACATCAATTAGGATACAAGTAGAAACAAAGAAGAGAAAGACACATTTGGGGAAAAAAAAAACCCCATACATAAACATATAATAGAGACAAGATTGGGGATCAATCCCACTACCCAACATACATTCCTAAGGATAATTTCTTTCTTGCTCCCGTTCTCCAAGCTCCAAAGTGTGAATACATGCATAAAAAATAAGAAAGCATAAAAACTTATCAAAAACCCTTCTTTTTAAAACCTTAACCTCCCTTTAACTTCATAGTTAAAATAATTAACTTTAGTTTCAAATTCCTTTCCCCTCAATTAATTAAATAAACCATTTAAAGAAAACCTCAAATAAAAAAACTTTATATTATATTCTAAAATATATTAAATAATTAAATAAATATTAAACAACTCTTATTAATAAAATAAAAATATCAAAATTATTAATAAAATACTTATATTATATTTTATGAAAAATGAGGTCTTACATGTATGTCAATAGAATTGACCAAGAGTTTAGCCTTTGATGTTGATCAAGATTAAAGAACAGAGAAACAAAAATAGAAATGTCCAAGAATAAATAAAGAGAAAGAGAAAGTGTGTGAGAGGGAGAATAAGAAAGTTTAAAGGCCGAATTTCTCAAAATGATCAAAAATGTGTTATACAAGTCTCTCAATGTATATTTATTGCATGGGTGATCTAACTAGTTTCTTGGGTTTTTTTTAATTCAAATGAAGGCCTACAAAATAACCTTCCAACAAGGAATCAATACCTAAATTGGGCTCCAAATGAGAGAGTTAGCCCAACTTCAGTGAGGTGCATAGGTTGTGATTTTAAGCATGATTTTGATCCTAAAATAGTGAAAATTGACCTAATCTTGCAAGACACAAAATTTTAGCACTTTGTCTTAACTTTTCAAAGACTCCAAAATTGTCCGAATACGAGTTTTATAGTTCCAACTATGCCTAGCACAAGATAACAATGTCACGAATGAGCAAGAATCTAAAAAGTAACAAAGATTAATGGTTAAGCCTATTTAGGCTCACTGATCCATAACTCATCCATCAAATCAATATTAAACATAATTATATGTCAACTAATTCCAATATAAATTACAATTTATTGCCTAAAAATGTTCTATTAAATTTCACTACACTTAGACTTTTTCACTCTCAAAGAAAAAGGGAAAAAAAAACTTAATTGTGAACCCCAAAAGTAAATAAATGAATAAAATCAAGCACTAATTGATGAAACTAGCTTGGAGATGGTTGATATTTCTCTTCAACTAGCCTCAATGTGTGTCGAATCTTCTTCCATGGATGTTAAAACTCAAAAGAAGTATGGAGGAGGAAGGAGGAGGTATGCGTCACTTCAAGTGAAGATAAGCAAGGATGTGAAGAACTTGCCATAAGGAGAAATTCCTTAGTAAAAGTTCATAAGGAGAAAATTTCTCCGAGAGAACTAAAATTTTGGAAGAGAAATCTAAATTTTATTTCTCAAATGCTCAGAAGTGTGTGTATATAGTAGGAGAAAGGTATATATAGAGTTTTATAGCTTATGATGCAAGTTAGACTAATCATAATTAAATGTAACCAATATTAGGTTAACTTGTACTAAAACTAACTAACTCTAGTTACATTATTTTCCTCCTAAAATACGTCACTATCCTAAGATTCAAAGAACCAACGGGAGCTTGTCACATGGCAAGGTGCCAAAGGTGTGACTAGACAAGGTCATGTGATTTGTTGGAGCCTTGAATGAACCATAAGACATCTCATCTCCCTTTGATGTTGACATCTAACCACTTGTCTCCCACACAAGTGGATGTCTACCACTTGGTCTCCCACATGAATGGATGTTTAACTTCAAAGGCTATGCATCCAAGCGATGCTCTCATGGGTCATTTAAGTCCAATATGTCCAAAACTTCTTTTCTAATTACACCCCTCCCAAAATACTAATTACACCCCTAAATAGAGAATTACATAGAAATAAGTTCCTATACAACTTGACCTAAAAATACAAGGTCAAAATATGAAATGCAAACACACAAAACAATTATACAAATACAAAATTAAGAAGCCATAAGGAAGAAGGAAAAAGGAAGAAAGAAGAACCAGGTGCACCACAAGAAAGACTAGGTACATTATCCAAGCCTTCAAGAAGAAGCTTGAGTCTTTGGATCTTCAAGTTATTTTAAATCTTCCTCCAATCTTCTAGCTATCAAAATATACACAAAATAATACATACAAAAGAAAGAAATATGCTTTAATAGCTTCCTAGCCCACTCCTTTAGAATCTCAAAGACACTCATTCCTTTCAAATAGTTCCTTAAAGGATAGGATTGCACCACTGATGTATGAACAAAAATTTTAAACACTTTTCAATGAATCCTAAAATGTAATGAAGTTAGAAAGAATACAAACACTTTTAAGATTCAAAAACATAAAACTTGCCACTTTAAATTCATGAAAACTTGGCAATCCAACTAATGTTGAGACTAAAAGAGTCATAAACATAATAAAAATTACAAAATGTAACTTCTGCAAATAATCGAAACAAAATTTTATATTAGGTTTTACAATTTTTCAATTAATCATGTCATTTTAAAATCTAAAATCATTGTATATTTTAAAATCTCAAATCATTGTATTTAGGCTAGGTAACGTTCTTTACTCTCTTTGCAAGCAAATGCATGTATCATGTTTTTAACAAGTTTTCTAAAATTTAAATTAGAAAAATGTTAAAAACGAGTTTAAATGAAGAGAAAAGAAATTTAATATATATATATATATATATATATTAACATTTTGATTTTTATATAACGAATGAATTTAGTATATATGATATATTTTTTTATCGACTCAATAAATATTTTCCAATTTTGCAATCTTATTAGAGTCGATATTCGAATACGATAAAAACTACTACCAGTGCAAAAATTGTCCCCAAGTATTTATAATACTCTATATTAATTTAATTTAATAAATTAACTAAATTGTTCTTACTTTTATGCCTTTCCCCGTCACCATTTTCCAAGAAGGAAAAAAAATAATAGTAATAAAGAGGAAAAGAAGATACTGCGAAGTAACACCGCAAGGAAGCAACGGAAGTGTGCATGACAGCCTTTGTGTGATTGCGACCCCGTTCCTCTTTCCCTCCGTCACAATCCCCCAAACCCCATACGACGCCGTTTCCCTTTCCTCTGTCGTTTCTTTCGCTCCTTCCCTCACTCCCGATGCGTTTCTCCATCTCATTCCGCGTTGTCGTTTTCGTCGCGCCTCGCTTTGCCTCGCGATTCTTCGAGTCAACGCTTCCGTTTCGCTTCTTTTAATCGCCGATTCCTTCGCAGAGTGAAGCACGCTTTCTTTCCTCACTCTCTCAGGTACTCCCTTTCGCTCCTACCTTCCTTTTCCTCATCGCTCAATTCCAGAGAACCACGCGCGCACCGTCGTTTCCTTGCACAAACACGCCAATTCAATTGCGTAGGTTTTCAATTTCCTCGCCTTGAAACGATCCTTTTTGTTATTTTCTTGTTCTGCAGGTTCTAATCGGTGTTTTTTCGTGTGTGATTAAGTCACTTGCGGGAATTAGGTTAGGTGAATGTTCCTTTCTCGCTTTGCACGCAACTGTATGCATTATTTTTTAACAAGGTTGTTTAAAATCTAAATTCTTAAATCTTAATTAATAAATATCAATATTAGTGAAAGATGGGAACTGTGTATGATTTTGGAGCTGATTTTGCAGCATCCTGGTTTTGCTGGTGCAAGAAGAGTTTGTTTTCAGTGATATTGTATTTAAAGGTTGTGTATTAATGCGTGTGTTTTTTCTGGCTTAATCTATGGTTTCTTGGTAGTAATTTTTGTTGTTGGTGGAGTTGTATGGATGTTATTGTTGTCTCACAAGAACTGTGTCTTGAAGGTTTGAACGACGCTTAGCCGTTTGCCGTTGCTGATGGAGCGGCCTGGGAGCTTAAACGGCAGTCAGCATGTTATAGAAATAGCTGGGAGTGCCGATGCTTCCACATCGTCTGCCTCATATCTTGATAGACATTCTAATGGTGGAGATGCAATGCAGCATGAAGAAAGAATGAGCGGTGCAAGGATGCCTCTTTCTCAGCCTTCGATTTTAGCTACTAGTGTATCTAATGGATCAAATAGTAGGAATTCCTCGTTCATAAGACGTGGGGATACTCGGCGGAATAGGAGTCCTGTGCATTCGGGGTTATGGATATCTATTGAGCTGGTCCTCTTAGTGAGCCAGATAGTTGCATCTATCGTTGTTTTGTCCTTGTCAAGGCATGAGCATCCGCGTACACCATTGTTTCAATGGATCATTGGTTATGCTTCTGGATGTGCTGCTACCCTCCCTTTGCTATATTGGCGGTATTATCATCATAACCATATGCGAGAGCAAGATTCATCTCAATCACGGCAAACTTCTCCTCGGATTAATGATCCTTCAGGGACACTTCTTTTCAGTTCCAGAACTGGTGGTGGCGAAGATGGTCAGGCTGCTGTTGTGTCCTCCCGAAGCAATCAAACTTCAGTATTGATGAATAGAAGGTAGTGAATTAGTTACTACAGTCATTTGTTTTACAATGTTATAATGGAACCCTTTTTCTTTAGTGTGAATTCATGAAAGTTATATTGTGAGTTCCTCAGAGCTTAATATTTCCTCATCCCTCTTCACCATTCTTGAAAACTGGTTTCAAAGCCTAGGTTGTAAACAGAAATTTGAAAAATGAGCGTAGAATATATTAAGAAATTTGAACATGTTGATCCTGAAAGCCTAGTTTGGACTTTATTTCCTTCCCTTGTTTTGGTAACAAAACCAAAACAATTAAAAAGTAGAGTTAAATAATTTTTTGATCCCTATAAAATTTCAAATTTCTGGTTCTTACACTTGTAAATTGTTTTGCTCATTTTTAGTCTCTCCCAGGGACTAATATTGATGATTAAAACAAGGGGTTAAAAATGGGCAATTTTCTTTTACAGGGACTAAAACTAGAAATCTAAAATGGACTTAACTTTGATACAATTTCTTAAATGTTTTTTGGCGCTGATCTCCAATTAAAATTCGAGCTTTACCTTGGTAATCTATGTTAACCTTTAATGCAGACCTTTATTATAAAGATTACCGAGGTTAAACTATGATTTTGACTGGAAAACAACACTAAAAACACTTAACGTACTGCATCTAAGTTTTGTTCATCTGAAATTCTATGAGGATCAAAGGTTATTTAACCAGAAAAGGTATTACTAAGTGTTCTTGCTGTGCCTCCATGTCTTTTTCTTGTGTTGCATGACTTGCATCCCTTTCAAGCCAATCAAACTATGAGAACGATGGATTGCTTTGAACTATTGCTTTGACTCTCACTATGATCTCTGTCTGTTTGGTGTAAAACATATATTAAAGTTTCAATCATCCTTCAACTGTTGATTAAAATAAGGTCTTGTTGACATTGTTTTGCATTGTGTCACTGTTTTTGGTGTATTAGAAGTTTGAATTTTGCAACTAATTGTGTATTCTGGTGAATAAAATTGTATCAAAATTGTTGCTTTAGTCTTTAGAGTTATATTAAGTTAATGTTTATTCATATTTAGAACAAAATTTTTATGGGAGACACATACACGCTGACATATGCACACGTATAGAAAATTTTATTTTAGCATCCATAAAGACTATCCTATTTCCTTGCATAATACAACAAGTGGTATATTCAATAAAAAAACCTGTGGCCAACTTTCACTTAATGCCTACCAAGTCATTTCACTCTTTTATTTTTTCAAAGAATGTAAGCTGTTTTTAATCCAATTTGAGTTGAAGGTGTGATACTATTACTGATTACTGGCGAACAGAATTCTTGAGATTGGTCTTACCTGTGATAGTTAAGAAAGAAGTTAAAGGTTTTTTTTTCTTCTGAAAATTGGTATAAACATGAAGGAAACATCAAATTTTAATATTTAAATATTCTTTTGCCTGTGTGGTTCTTGTTGTCATGACCCCACTCACTCCAATATCACTGTTTATTATTATTCATTAAGATTTAAAATTTTATTGTATGGTTTTATGGTTATAAAGCTGCTAATCCCTTGTTCATTCTTTCACCACAGAATGAAGACACTAGTGGAATACTTCAAAATATCTTTAGATTGCTTTTTTGCTGTATGGTTTGTTGTTGGAAATGTATGGATCTTTGGGGGACATTCATCTTCTGAGGAAGCTCCTAACTTGTACAGGTATAGACTTCCATTCATTCTTACATTTAATCTTCTGATTATTCAGAATTTTGAAACTTCATGTCCTTCATTTTTGTTGGCAGGCTATGTATAGTGTTTCTTGCATTTAGCTGTATTGGTTATGCTATGCCCTTCATTCTCTGTTCAACAATCTGCTGTTGTCTCCCTTGTATAATTTCCATCCTTGGGGTTAGAGAGGATATGTCACAAAACAGAGGGGCAACTTCTGAATCCATTAATGCTTTGCCAACTTACAAGTTCAAGATGAAGAAAAATAAAAGAAATGGCGAAGGCAACTCAGGTGCTGTTGAAGGTGGAGTTGTGGCTGCAGGAACTGAAAAGGAACGTGTGATATCTGGAGAAGATGCGGTAAGTACCATCTGATCTCTATAAATATATATTCAGGATACTTAATTAAAATTCTTGAGGTAAATTACACTCCTTTGAGAAATGCATAATTACACTGCCCTTCCACCCAACTATTTTTTTTTTATAAATAACATTCCTCTTGCTTAAGAGATTAAAATTTGCTATACTTTAGTCCATTTAAATATAATTGAATTAGAGTGATGAGTGTTAGTAAACCCCCCTCTTAAGTGTATTTGGGTGAAATAGAGGTAAAGAAAGAAGAATAAAGCCAGAGATAGTTTCTGTTAGTGTAGTCAAGTATTTATTAAACTCTAAATGAATGAGTTGGTATAAGGAGGGGAAATGGGACCTACAATTGTAGTAGTTGGGAAAAGGAGGGAAATAGGAGCATGGAAAGGAGATGGAGAGTTCATGATATATCAGATTACGAGAAGAGGGGGGGGGGGGGGCAAATGAGTGAAGAGACACTTCTACTTGAATTCTCATCAGAACTTTGTCTATAGGATCAAAATTTAGATCCTCGAACAAGAGAGAATTGCAATAAAATCCTATTCTTTACTTGTTTCACTTTCATCATTATAGGCATGGTTGTCAATCTCGAGTTACAACTCGTAATATCGTCCGAGATTACGAGTTTACTGAAGCAAAACGGGATAACTCGGAGGTAATACTCGTTTTTGAGTAAACTCGAGCAAACTTGGGTAATCTCGTATGAAATCGTGAGTTTACTATGAGATTCGTGAGTTTACCAAACCCCAAAATACACGATTCATTAAGGGTTTCTTACCCCCGTCGTTCATTCTTTTCTTCTCTCCTTTGCGCGTTGTCTTCTCCTCTGCGCGTCTTTCTCATTCACGTCACTGCTCCTTCGTGCATCGTTCGGATCTGTGCCACGTCGCTTCTCCTCCTCCGCATGTCGATCTTCGAGAGTCGCAGTCGCACTCGTCGTTCTCTACACGGACGTTTTGTCTGAGTTGCATTCGTGCTCTTTTGCGAGTCGCATCAACCACCAACACAAAGGTTCTTCTTGGTCTTAGCTTAGCTGTGTTCTTTCCCCTTTTTTATTCTCTATCTAATATATTTTTTATCCAGTCCCATTTTTCTTTGTTCTTTATCATGTTTGGGACTGAATCAAATTCAACTAGTCATTTTATTTTTAAGAACTTGTGAGTTGTGTCTTATGTGAAATTGCTACTAAACTTTGCTACTTTATCATTACAATTTATTATTTTGCTTTAATATGAAGTTGAATGGTAGTTATTATGTTATTTCTAAGTATTTTTAACATATTTTTTATATTAAGTAAAAACTCTTGCGAGTTTACGATACAAGTTTACAGAGCCTCCACGAGATTATGTAAACTCTCGAGATTGACAACCTTGATTATAGGAGCTCCCAAATGTTGGGAGTCTCTCATGGTTCACTAAAGAGTGGAAGCACGCCTTTTGGATGTGGAAATAGCCTTTGAAATGTTGATGAAATGATTAGAAGAAGATTGACAATAGTATTGGGGGGATTGAGATATGCAAGCAAGAATAACCTCCAGAAATTGGAAGAGATTCTTGAATGATTATTGCAGAAACCTAATGGTTATTAGAATTCTAACAGAGAGAGAGAGAGAGAAAGCTTTTAGAAGAAGCTAATATATTTCTTATATGTATTACAATACTTGATAACAAGTATTTATTTATAGGAAGTGATTACATAATTCAATTATAACTGAATTCTAACAGAATCAAACAGAATGAGGAAAAGATACAATACAGTAGGTCTCTGACAAGAGCCTGGGCCTAAACATCTCAAAGCAGAAAAATAAAACTAAAGCTATACAGGATATAGGCCTAGTTTGTGGGGAAGGCAAGATGGTAATAGGAGGTGTTGGAATTTGTTGGTGGTGTATGGGGGGAAGGCAAGATGGTAATGGGAGGTACTGAAATGAAAGACTGTGGTAAAGGTGTTTGGGTGGGAAATAACACAGGATAAGGAAACCTGATTTCGTTGACAATGACATCCTTGGAAAAGATTATTTTGCTCCAAGTGGTTAAGCACTTATATCATTTGTAAGATGATGCATATCCAAGAAATACACACTCTTGAGATCTATATTCCATTTTATACTGGTTGAATGACCTCAACAAGGGAAAACAGGTGCAGCCAAATACTTAGATTTAATTTTAATCTGGTTTGGTATTAAACAGTCTAACATGTGGTATGGCAAAGTTGAGAGAAGCAGTTAATGAGATAAGTTGCTGTGGAAAAGGCGTGATCCCAAAATTTCAAGAGGGAGGGAAGCATGAGCTAGGAGAGTGAGCCCTAGTTCCACTATTTGTCTGAGCTTTCTCTCTACAACCCCATTCTTGTGGTGTGTATGTGGGCATATAGTTCTGTGTAAAATACAAAATAGTTGAAGCATATTAGAAAAGGGTCTAAACTCTCCCCCCAATCTATTTGTAGGACCTTTATCTTGCAATTAAACTGTAATTCAGCAATGCTTTTAAATTGCAGGGAAGTTTTCAGTGCTTTAGATTTGGTTTTTAGAGGGAACAACCAAGTATATTTGAAAAATGCATCTAGGAAAGTTATATAATAACTATAACCACCAAAGGATATAAATGGGGAAGATCCCCAAAGATAACTTTATTATCAAATTCAAAGGAGCAATATATTTAGTTAAAGAGATACTTGAATGTAAACAATGTGATTTACCAAGATAGCAAGAGGAACAAAAATCTAACTCATTTATTGAAATTGGATACGTGATAATTTTGCAATACATGCGAAGTCTATCTCTATTAGGATGACCTAATCTGCAATGCCAAACATTTGGAACAACATTTACATCAGGGAAGCTACATTGTTTATGAGGAATCTGAATATTTGTGAATTTATAAAGTCCATCTTAACCAAGTTCAACTTGAAGAAGGACTTCATTGGTGCCCTGACATTTCTCAAGATAAATTTAGGGTGAAACTTGAAAAATACATTGTTATATTTAGCAAATTTATACTAACAAGATTTTTAGTGACGTTAGGGACATGTAACAAATTATGAAAGACAAGTTGAATTTTAGGTAAAGGTAGAGGAAACTAATTTGAACATAAAGAAGCTATAGGAAGTCATTGTCCATTATTAACAAGCAACTGATCTAGTCCTTCATAAGGGGAGGATTGCTTGAAGTTGAACTGTTCAGGGGTCACATGATGTGAGGCTCTTGAATCAGGATACCAGCCTGATGATACATTCACATTGGTGTTGGAAAAAAACACCTTAGGAGCAGCCTGACAGTTGTTGACACTATAGGGATTCAAACTAGCTGTTAACGATGTTGAGTTGCAGAAAAAAACTGCCTGTCTGGGGAGGGAATTGTAATTTTTCAAATAGAGGGGAGAGTAATATATTTTAAGCATCTCTTAGGAGAGGATGTAATTTACTCAACTTCATGGCATGCTGTCTGTTGAGAGTAATGGTGAATGGAGAGAACATATTCCTTTCATATCTTTAAATTTTTCCATCAAAATCATCTCATGAATCATGAGTGAAGAGATGTTTAAAGATTTTCTACTCAGTGCATCAGCCACAACATTGGCTTTTACTGGATGGTAATGTAATTCAAAATCATAATCTTTCAAAAATTGCATCCACCTTCTTTGTCTCATATTTAGTTCCCTTTGATCAAATAAATATTTTAAACTCTTATGATCGCTAAAAACATCAAACTTACTACCATACACATAATGTCTCCATATCCCTAGTGCAAAAATTGGATTTAAAATCAGAGTTTTAAGATCGGTTACAAGGTAACCGATCTTAAAAGTGACGCGGTGGCAATTTTGTAAATAACATGAACACTTTTAAGATCGGTTGAAATTTAACCGATCTTAAAAGTACTTTTAAGATCGGTTATAAAAGAACCGATCTTAAAAGTGGCACTTTTAAGATCGGTTTACAAAATAACCGATCTTAAAAGTGACACTTTTAAGATCGGTTATAATAAGATCAATTCTTTTATAACCGATTTTAAAAGTACTACTTTTAAAATCAGTTATTTCAAAACCAATTTTGTATGTAGTATACAAAATCAGTTATGAGATAACGATTTTAAAAGTATCGTCAGAAATCTTTTATATTCCCCACCATTCTCATTCTCTTCAATCTTTCCCTGAAGCTCTCATTTTCTAAAGTCTCCAATAAGGCAAATTTCGTTGTCGTTTTCATTTTCATTTTTGTCTTCTCATGTTTTTCTTGTGTCTCTTTTCGTTTTTTCATGATTTTGTCGTCTCTGTTTTAGTTGTAGGTCCAGTTTGGGTTCAAACCTGGAACGGCCCATTCTGCAAGGAGAACGGGCCGTTCTGCAAGGAGAACGAGCCGGTCTGCAAGTAGAACGGGCCGTTCTCGAATGAGAACGGGTCGTGCTGCAAGGAGTACGGGTCGTTCTCTAAGGAGAACGGGCCGTTCTCCAAGGAGTATGGGCCGTTCTCTCTGGGAGAACGGGCCGTTCTAAAAGTGACCTTTTAGGCATTTTGATCATACTGGAACGACCTGTTCCAATTTTGGAACGGACCGTTCCAGTTTAATTTTTTTGCACAACCGCACTTTTAAGATCAGTTATAAAATAACCGATTTTAAAAGTTAACTTTTAAAATCGATTGTTTAACCGATTTTAAAAGTCTACCTTTTAAAATCGGCTCTTTCAAGAACGGTTAAAGCTGGCTTTTGATGTTCTATCTTGGCATTTTGACAAATCAAACATGTAGCTACATATTGTGATACTTCCTTTTCATTTTAGGCCACCAAAACATTCTCTTGAGATCCTGATACATTTTTGTTCCCCCGGGGTGTATACTCAACTTGCTCTTATGTGCCTCACCTAGAATTATTTTCTTAATTTCTGAATCATTGGGTACACATATCCTATCATTAAATCTCAAAACTCCTCTTTGATCTATATTAAACTTTTCACCATCCTTTTGTCCCAACAATCTCTTTTTCTTTTGAATGAATTTATCAACTACCTGAGCCTCACCAATTTGTCCATGTAAGTCATTAGTAACTTGAACTGCATGCAATTGTATTCTATCTTGACTTACTGTAGTTGATAAATTCATATCTTTAAATTTTTCCATCAAAATCATCTCATGAATCATTAGTGAAGAGATGTTTAAAGATTTTCTACTCAGTGCATCAGCCACAACATTGGCTTTTACTGGATGGTAATGTAATTCAAAATCATAATCTTTCAAAAATTGCATCCACCTTCTTTGTCTCATATTTAGTTCCCTTTGATCAAATAAATATTTTAAACTCTTATGATCGCTAAAAACATCAAACTTACTACCATACACATAATGTCTCCATATCCCTAGTGCAAAAATTGGATTTAAAATCAGAGTTTTAAGATCGGTTACAAGGTAACCGATCTTAAAAGTGACGCGGTGGCAATTTTGTAAATAACATGAACACTTTTAAGATCGGTTGAAATTTAACCGATCTTAAAAGTACTTTTAAGATCGGTTATAAAAGAACCGATCTTAAAAGTGGCACTTTTAAGATCGGTTTACAAAATAACCGATCTTAAAAGTGACACTTTTAAGATCGGTTATAATAAGATCAATTCTTTTATAACCGATTTTAAAAGTACTACTTTTAAAATCAGTTATTTCAAAACCAATTTTGTATGTAGTATACAAAATCAGTTATGAGATAACGATTTTAAAAGTATCGTCAGAAAGCAAAATACTGAAATCCTAAAGTGGACGGGACCCAACTCGGCCCCCAAATATCAGAATGAACTAAATCAAAAGGAGACGATGCTCGGTTGTGGACACTCGGAGAAAAGTTCCGAATCTAAAACCAATTTTGTATGTAGTATACAAAATCAGTTATGAGATAACGATTTTAAAAGTATCGTCAGAAATCTTTTATATTCCCCACCATTCTCATTCTCTTCAATCTTTCCCTGAAGCTCTCATTTTCTAAAGTCTCCAATAAGGCAAATTTCGTTGTCGTTTTCATTTTCATTTTTGTCTTCTCATGTTTTTCTTGTGTCTCTTTTCGTTTTTTCATGATTTTGTCGTCTCTGTTTTAGTTGTAGGTCCAGTTTGGGTTCAAACCTGGAACGGCCCATTCTGCAAGGAGAACGGGCCGTTCTGCAAGGAGAACGAGCCGGTCTGCAAGTAGAACGGGCCGTTCTCGAATGAGAACGGGTCGTGCTGCAAGGAGTACGGGTCGTTCTCTAAGGAGAACGGGCCGTTCTCCAAGGAGTATGGGCCGTTCTCTCTGGGAGAACGGGCCGTTCTAAAATTGATGTTCTATCTTGGCATTTTGACAAATCAAACATGTAGCTACATATTGTGATACTTCCTTTTCATTTTAGGCCACCAAAACATTCTCTTGAGATCCTGATACATTTTTGTTCCCCCGGGGTGTATACTCAACTTGCTCTTATGTGCCTCACCTAGAATTATTTTCTTAATTTCTGAATCATTGGGTACACATATCCTATCATTAAATCTCAAAACTCCTCTTTGATCTATATTAAACTTTTCACCATCCTTTTGTCCCAACAATCTCTTTTTCTTTTGAATGAATTTATCAACTACCTGAGCCTCACCAATTTGTCCATGTAAGTCATTAGTAACTTGAACTGCATGCAATTGTATTCTATCTTGACTTACTGTAGTTGATAAATTCATATCTTTAAATTTTTCCATCAAAATCATCTCATGAATCATTAGTGAAGAGATGTTTAAAGATTTTCTACTCAGTGCATCAGCCACAACATTGGCTTTTACTGGATGGTAATGTAATTCAAAATCATAATCTTTCAAAAATTGCATCCACCTTCTTTGTCTCATATTTAGTTCCCTTTGATCAAATAAATATTTTAAACTCTTATGATCGCTAAAAACATCAAACTTACTACCATACACATAATGTCTCCATATCCCTAGTGCAAAAATTGGATTTAAAATCAGAGTTTTAAGATCGGTTACAAGGTAACCGATCTTAAAAGTGACGCGGTGGCAATTTTGTAAATAACATGAACACTTTTAAGATCGGTTGAAATTTAACCGATCTTAAAAGTACTTTTAAGATCGGTTATAAAAGAACCGATCTTAAAAGTGGCACTTTTAAGATCGGTTTACAAAATAACCGATCTTAAAAGTGACACTTTTAAGATCGGTTATAATAAGATCAATTCTTTTATAACCGATTTTAAAAGTACTACTTTTAAAATCAGTTATTTCAAAACCAATTTTGTATGTAGTATACAAAATCAGTTATGAGATAACGATTTTAAAAGTATCGTCAGAAATCTTTTATATTCCCCACCATTCTCATTCTCTTCAATCTTTCCCTGAAGCTCTCATTTTCTAAAGTCTCCAATAAGGCAAATTTCGTTGTCGTTTTCATTTTCATTTTTGTCTTCTCATGTTTTTCTTGTGTCCGGCTCGAGAAGGAAGAGATTCGTGACAAACGAGGTCCGATCACAAAACAAATAGTAGATCGGGGTAGAGGAGGTCGGGGCGAGCCCGGCGCCGGTGATCCCCGCCGGAAAAGTCGCCGGACGTGCCGCCATGCGCGGTGGCTGACGGAGAGGAGAGAGAAAACGCGCCCAGCACGGATGCGGTGCGTGGGGGCGCGTGCAGCCTCTATTTGCCGCGCGACCGGTGGCGTTGGGTTCGCCGGAGGAAGGCGAGTTGGGTGGGGGGGTCGCCAGCCGGAAAGGTGGCGGCAGCGAAGAAAAACCCTAAAAAAAATAGGAAAAATTGCCGGAAAGAGACACGACTGAGTGGATAGCCGGAAAACGGAATGAGACACGTTTTCCGGGCACCGATGAACAGTGGGTCCACCAGAAAGTCAAGGATAGGCTCTAGATACCATGTTGAGAGTAATGGTGAATGGAGAGAACATATTCCTTGTGTATTGCAAAGCAAAAGATGTGTTTAAATACAAAGCAGTGGGCCTAGGCCCATAAGATAAAAACCTATAAGATAAAACTATATCTAACACTGTCATTGTCAACTTACACTCCGTCCAGTTATGTGAAAGATTTTCTTGGTATTGTAGTACTTATATCTAATCAAACTTCTCTGTTTGGGCTATGTTGGAATAGATTTAAGCTTGTAGGCTTCTTGGTATGGTAGTGCTTATTTTGTTGCTTTAGGAGATTGGATAGCTTGTGTCTAAAACTATTTTTTTTCCATAGTATCTTGAAATTTTATTGGAGATGTATCATTCATGATTCATGGCATCATGTAAAAGAAGTTTGATTTGGTGAGGTTGTGCTTAATAAGACTATTATTTAATTTATGCTGTGGAAAGTGTTAAAAGACCCTATAGCACAATATGCCTTTCTCATTGTAACCAGGATATTGTTCCTTTGTTTATGTGATGATTATGATTGGGAATGTTGGTACTTTCTGTGGTTGTCAACAGGTTTGCTGCATCTGCCTGGCAAAGTATGAAAATAACGACGAGTTGAGAGAATTGCCTTGCTCTCATCTTTTCCACAAAGACTGTGTCGATAAATGGTTGAAAATAAATGCATTGTGCCCTCTTTGCAAGAGTGATGTTGGTGAGAACTTAACAGGATCAGTTTCTGTAGAAGATGCTAGCCAACAACGCACTGATAATGGCCTCACAAATACCTCAGTTTAGTCAAGTTTATAAATATACAATTTGGATCCTCTCATTTTCCTTGAGAACTGGATAATCTCGTCTGGCAAGTTAAGAGAGACAGAGAGAGAGAGAATTGATCACCTATTTATATAACTGGTGGACCCTGCACAGGTAATGGTGGGTAACTCATCACCTATTTATGAAACAGATGAAGCCTGCACAGGCAATGTGAGTTCCTATACAATAAACTGTATTTCTCTCTCTCGTAACAAGAAGCTCGTCTTCAAAAGGAAAAAGAAATCATCAGAAGCCCCTTTTACACATGCACACTTGGTACTTGTAAAGTTTTTTCTATGGAAGGATGTTGATTGAGGTCATCCATTCCATATCATTTTTGTTGATTTATTTTCTTTTTCTTGTTGGAACTGTAAGTTGGCCGATAAGAGGCATAGTGATGCGGCTGATTGTTCAAGGGACGCTCATCATGGCCATAAGCTGTTTGCTATTGACATTGGGAGTTAAAGCGTATGATTTCATGTAAATGGGTCACAGGAATATATACAATCTGAGGTTAGTTCCATTTTCACTATTTGGCAATTGTCATGTCGATGTAAATGTATTTATTTGCATTTTCTTTATTCGGGTGGTTTATTAATGGGCATCTTACTAGGGATATTTTAAATTTGACATCATTCATTTATTAAAGAAATTAATCTTGAAACAAGTAGTATTAACATGTTCTATTATTACTTCCGCCTCTAATTTTAAGCAACATTAATTAAATTGTATTCTAATTAGGGAAAAGTTAGTTAATGTCATTTAATTTTGTTAATTTCAATCAAAAAAAGAATTTTATTTCATATATTATCCTTCATTAAAGTTATTGAAAATATAATTTCAACTAAATTAAGGGTATTTTATAGATGATAATATTAAATAAGATAATTAGTTATATTTAGGTTCGCTATTAATTTTTATTTTTTTTTTGTTTACAGAAGAAAGGAGTATTTAAGAATGTAAAATGACACAATAATTTTGAGGTTGTAGTAATTGAATCTGAATTTTCCAAATCATTTAAATAAATAAAAAAATCAAGATTACTCTGTATGGATGACAGCTAAATTCGTAGTTATGATATCTCGAAAAAGCATAAGCATCATTGTCTTGCGGTTATTTTGCTATTTAAGTTTAGCGTGAGATGTATCAGTAAGTTTGACAAGTTAAAATCGGAAACGGTTTCGGTGAGTTTGGATAATCAAACCGTGACTTTTTTCCATTTGCAACCATTAGATTATTATTATTTTTTAGATTTTTTTCTAGTCTCTTAAAATATTACAAAATAAATAAAACACTAGCAAAATATAAAATATTTAAATAAAAAAATTATTTTCTAGGCTTATTGTTTTTTTCCTGTTCGTTTTTTGTCTTTAATTTTTTTTATTTAACTTTTGGTTCATGTAATCTTTCTTTTCGTCTTTGTCGTTTATTTTTTTACTGTTTTTATATGACGTGTTTGTTAAAGACACTACTTCAAGTGAATTTTAATCGTTTTATGTTGAACATAATATGTATAAACAATGAAAAAGTAAGGACATGAACAAAACAAAAAATAAAAATTACATGCACCAAAAGTTAATTAAATTTTTTTTTAAGGATTAAAAACAAAAACTGATACATTACTGAGACAAAAAAAAAGTATTTAAAATTAGAAAATAAAATTCTTTTTATTTTTTAATTCTTATATTTTGTTGAAGTTTTTTTATTTATTTTGTAACATTTTAGGATACTTGGCAAAAATCTAAAAGAGAAATATTGATCTGATGATTTATATATTCAATTCATCGTATAAAATATTTTTACAATTATTCATCAATTTTAATTAAATTTATAGACTTAATCTATATATTAAGAATTTTTATTTTAATGGTTGAATCATTGAAATTTAATATACACTATGAGTTATTAGAGCATCTCCAATGAGGGTTGCTTGCTTATAAGCAACTCCCATTGCAGATGCTCTTAAGTGAAGTAACTTTACAAGAGTTACTCTTATAATCATTTGATCCCTCTCCTCTGCTCCCCCGCCCCCGCCCTCCTAAAGTCAGGGTACTTTATACATTCATATTTTATTTAATAAATGTATTTAACAATTACTAATATTTATTAGATGAATCAATGTTGTACTTAGTCTTTAAATCTCAAAGTCTTGAGTTTGAGTCTTGTCTTTATAAGAGTGGTTATTGTTTAATATTTAAAAAATTAAAGATAAAATAATCTAAAAAATGTGTACACTAAATCAAGTTATCGCATATATATATATATATATATATATGTAGGGAGCGTATCAAGTGAGAAGTTTTTATTGTGAGAAGGTGAGAAGGTGGAAA